ATGAAATAATAATACAGTGCTAAGTTTTATATTAATAGTTTTGATTAACATGTAAGAAATAAGTACAGCATTTTTGATATGTTTTGTACTTGGTATAATTTTCATAATTTGTATTGAAAAAACTTATAAAATGACAAGTTCATTTCTATGAATAGGTTTTGATAGACAGTATTTACAGACATTTTTGTTTTGTACTATAGCACCTAGGTTTCCACTGTGCTTTTTTGCATGTTTTTGGCTGAAAAAGAGATCTCCTAAGTATCAAATAGAGTTAGCAATAAATTCCACACATTTAGAGGTGTGGTAGTCTGTGTCAGAACATAGTTAAGATTTGTAATGTTTGTCTTCCAAAATAACCACAAAACTGTATATAATTTTAAAAAATCTTGATTAAAATGCTTTAAATACTGTAGAAGCAAATAAGCAATTATAGTTTTAGTATTTGAATTGACTTTCCTGGAGATGAGCTAAGCTTAAAAGAGCTTGAAAGTTTGAGATGCAAATTAACATCTCATAAACTTTCAAGCTCTTTTAAGCTTAGCTCATCTCCAGGAAAGTCAATTCAAATACTAAAACTGTAATTGCTTATTATGATACTAAATAATTTACAAATATTGAATAAGAATTATCATAAATACAAATTTAAAAAATTATTTTTTATGTTAAAATAAATCACTATTTAAAGATTTTTAAATTTATGAATACATTGCTTTGACATGAAAATAGGTCAGTCTCAATATTAAATACATATGCAGTATACTCAGCAGAGAGATATAACAATCTTATTTCATAATCTAATGCTTGCTGGGAAAAAATTGTTTATTGAACAAACATTTTCAACCTATTATCATACATTATCTTCAGGTTTTTAATATTAAAGACAATTAAACAATATGTCTCAAACTTTCATCCCTCATTATCATTTCTAATAATTTAGAAAGAACCACAACTTCTTCCAAAGAGTTTTCTTTATTAACTTGGTTTGCAAGTTTCTCCAGAGAGCTTATAAATAGAATATTAGAGAAATAGAGAACAATAATATCTTTTTATTTATTTGATTTTTTGTATAATACCATACTGGCATAGAGATGTCTTTATCTGAGAATTTTATTTCCTGATATAAAATAGAAACACACAAAATCTCAATATCAGAGAAAACCACTGTAAAGTAGAAGTTTTATGAACTTTGTAATAAAGCTTTGAAAGCCAAATTAATCATCCAGATAGATTCAGATGAGCCATTTCTAAGATGTTATTTAAGTTATATTTTCCCTATTCTGTTAAAAATAACTTTAATTTTTCCTTATAAAGTTATTATATTTTGACGTTTTAATTAAAACTAATGACTTTTGTTCATAATTTATTGTTATGTTAATAACACACAGAATATCTCATATTTGATATGCCTGATGATAAATGAAAAGTTCAGAAGTGCTAAAGCAATAGAGAGGTTGCGGCCGATGTTTTCATCGTGAGAACGTGAACGTTGGACATTTAGCGCCGCCTTCCTATAAGCCTAGAAGTTCGACAATGGCATTTGGAATGTCGAGCATGATTCCACTGACATTCCAAACGCCATTGTCGAACTTCTAGACTTACAGGAAGGCTGCGCTGAACATCCAACATTCACGTTTTTGCGATGAAAACGTCGGCCGCAACCTCTTTATTATTAAAGCAATGTGATTTATGATTTTTCTCACTCCATTAAAGCATTACTTATTTTGTTAGAAATGTTATTTGGAATGATAGGTATGGTATACTTGAGATATTTATTAAAAAAATAAAAACCATATATTTTTGCAGCAGAAAAATTTATAAAATCTTAATTATATTTGAATTTATTTCTTATTCACATATGATAAATGTAATATTAAAAATTTAATACTACTGAATGTGTTGAATTTAGTATTTTTATGAATCAGGCTGTGTTGGGGTCCCCCCGATGTATATATGTAGGTTTCATTAAATAAGTCATTAATTTATATATCCTCCCTTTGTCTATCTAACTAACGCTTGTCGCTTTTCCCTTTTCAACTCTTTTAACAGCTAAGTGTTTGTTTCTGGCTAGTTTTGGGCTGGAAGGGGCACTGACTGATGTCACAACATAGAGGGATGATTTTTGTTCATTCTTGGGGAATCAAGTGAGGAGAGAAGCACATGGTGAGAGAGGAGAGGGGTACAAGTGAGATCGGGATGACGAGAAAGGAACCAGAGAGAGAGACTCAGTCAACAGAGATTCAGAGGAGTTGTGTTAAAGAATTGGCACTATTAAGATATAAAGGAGGATTCATAATTGGATATTTCGTCCCGTCAAAAGGAGTCCACGTGGTCAGGTTGTGATAGACATTACAAATTGCCCAACTCACTAAACAAATAAAATAGATCCCCTTCTAATATAATCTTTCTATAGTCTTTCTCTAATCTAAGTAAAATTAGTTTTAGTTTAATTTAAGTTAGTTTTAATTAGCATTATAAGATGATTCAAACAGATTGTGAACTGGCCGGTTTCGGGACTCGCATGTGTAATCAGATCTACAAGCATTGTAAACTAGGAGAAATAAACAGTTTAAATTCTGTATTTTAAAAAAGGTAATGTGTAATATTACGGACTGTTTCTAAATTCTGTAATTTAAGTTGACTGTAAATAAATAATTACCATTATCGTAAATTTGAAATACGTGTTAATCCGCAGTGCATTATTTATATAATGTGGTTCTCATTAACCCGTCACACCACAATGCTTTAATTTTTGGATCATCTTCATTAAAATATGTACTGTACAGTACATAAATAAAAATAAACTATCTATCCAATATTCACATTTTATTATTTCTGCTTTTAGATTTTTTATTATTATAAATTCTTGGTTTTTAATTTTGCATCAATAATTTTATATAAATAAAAAATAAAGTGAAAAAAATAAATATGAGGGCTGTTAAAAAGAATGAGACTACCATTGTAGTGAGGCAACAACATGATGTTTGTTAAAAAGACCAAATGTGGTGAAAAGTGTCAATCATTGAAATGATTGTGTATTCAGCAGAAAGACATGAAAATGATGTCATATCCAACTTCAACTCTGATCACAATGGCTATAGTAAGGAAAATTCTGTTATTACTTTTATTGAAAATAAATAACTTTTACACATGGACTTCACGAGAAAATATAACATGGCTGACTTGCATGAGGCTTGTTTATAAAAAAACGTTTACTCTTCTGCTGTGCAATAGAGGGTGGCTTGTCATATTTTTTCTTTTTATTATAACACTTCCTTCAAAAGAAAAAATAAGACTTGCTTAATGATTACATGGTTACAACCTCTCTATACCAATCTTTTCTCTTAGTATATCAAATCGGACATGTTCATGGCTTTATCAACAGATCAGCCAACTGGTTCTTTCTGAATTTCTGAACTAAGGGAGAGGATTGTGAAAAATTCTGGGAGGAAGTTATGATGAAGATTGTTAATTACATTGATCAAAGTGTTATTCCTTGAGTCGAGTTCTGAGTGAGGAAGAATTCCCTTTCTCACTTATCTGGTAGTGTGTACATGGTACTGGATCCAACTTGACCTGTTGTAAATTTGGACTAAAGAATCAATAGTTTGGTGGTATCAATCAGTGGGCCAAGGAGAGAAAAGTGTTTTCACAATAAAGGAATTTTCCTCATGGACTATCAAGATGATGAATATTGCAAGAATTCTCAGGACCCAGGTACCTTTGTTCTTGTCTATCCTCCATCTTGAATAATTCTCACCATCTATCTTAATTTCTTAACACTGTTAGTTGCAAATAGTGTTACAACACATCCAGTTTTCACCCGGACAGTCCGGGAATCAACTCACTGTCCAGGTGAACTATTAATTTTGTCTGGGAAAATTATGCGCAACCTGTCAACCTTTTTTTTTCTTTCTGCTTGTACGACTCGTATTCATACACATCTTCAATATCCAATAGAGCTAAGTCATCCAGGTTACTTACGTTACTCTTACCCAAGTCTCCCTAGTCCCTAACTGTAACTGATTTAGAATCGGCATGCACTGCGCATTATTCTTCGCATTGCAAAATGACATTACGCATGCATCAGGAACTTCTGTTTGAATAAACCTCACCTGCTGTCTGGGTCAGCGTTTCTAAAAAGGTGGCAACACTAGTTGCAAATTGATTATAAGAATTAGTTGTAAGGATTTTATTTTTGTAATGTTTGGTTTTCTTTGTTTATTGTATAAGTCATTAATATTACAATGTTGTATGCATTATAAAAAATTGTAATTGTTTCTGCTGACAGTCAGGGATTTTGGGTAACTGCTGGAATATTATCATGGAGTTGAAATCCATTACTAAAAAGGAAAAGTCAATGCATAATTAAACATTTTTTTATTTTCTAAGGCATTGTTTGTTCTTTTGTTTTCTTCTTTTTGCCTTTGTGGGTTAATGGCTACATATTATATTTTATGGTATATTATCTAATTTAGTTTTATGTGAGATTGCTATGGGATAAATCCAAACTTATTTGTTAATATAATACAATATCTGTGCTACTAATAAGATTACATTTGAGAAGAATGCTAAATAATTTAATCATAATTAGTTTAAAATAATAGCATTTAAAAATAAAAAATGTTACATACAGCTTTTAGCCATGGTATGAAACGTAATTTCTCAATGATGTGATAAAAATAAAGAACAAGCAGAATTAAAGTTACAAAAAAACTGGTGCTGGCCACAAAATTAAACCAATTACTTGCTGAACAGTAATGACATTGAGAAGCAATGATACACAGCATACCTACAACATTGTTTACCTGTAAAATATTATAAAAATTAATTTTTTATTATCAATAAAATAATATAACAATGTATTTTAACATTCATTTATAAATTCCTTTATAAAATACAGTAAATCCTTGACTTAATGTGGTTAATAAACCAATTATTAATGGCAATCATTTGGCTTAGTTTTAGAAACATTTTTTTATTTTGGCTTTTTATTTTTAATAATAAAATAATTTACAATAGAGGTGCCATAAATAGTTACTGTAGTAATGTATCTTAACATTTAATTTACATTGGCACAGTAGTATAGTGCCAAAATAAGCTTTCAAACATAATAACATGCTCTTATTTACACAGAAAAATGTTAAGTTGCATGGTGATCAAATAGGATACATTTTTAATAAATATATATTCATTTCAAAGGAATATTGAAGCTAATGAAAAGCTATTGAAGCTTTTGAAAAGAAAACTTTGAGAAAGTAAAAACTTTTATTGCCTGAAAGTTTTTTCATTTATTATGCATGTTCAAAGCAGAACTTAATAGATAGTGTTATAACTAATGAATTTGCATAACTAATAAGTCAAAATATTGTATCTGCATAAGTCAAGAACTTACTATACTCAATATAAATTATTTAAAATTAAAATTATATATACATTAAAAATTATGTTTTCACATGGTAGATAGTCGTAAAAAAATCTGCATAAAAAAGCTGCTATCCATACAGAAAAACAAAAAATTGGTTCCATACAATAGAACTTTGTTATTTTGATATTAGATAATTTGAAGTATCATGTAATTTGAAGTCAAATCTACAGAAGTATTCTGCAGTTCACAGCTAAGAGAATAAGATTTTGCATGTATTTTAGTTCAGATAATTCAAGATATGCATACAATGAAATTTTGTCCTATCAGGTCTGGTGACCCACAAAAATATCATTTAATTTGAAATTTACCATCAAATTACATGTTTATAAGAAAGTTTCCACACACAAGTGCAGTTTCAGTTTTAACAATTATACAGTGTTGATTGGATGTCTGTTCAAGATCATTCAGACATTGTACATGTTGCCAATGAAGAGAAAATGATTTTTGTTTTTTATTATTATGGAAAAATCTTTTTGACATTTTATTATTTTAGACATTTCTTGCAAAAATCTAGTTTCAATAACTCCAAAAACTATCAAATACTTGTGCATATTCACAATAGAATGTTTACTTAAAGCTTTAGTCTTTAATAGAGCTTGTTTTCAACAGCTCACATGATTTTTGTAATCTTGAACTCAAGACAAAGTTCACAGTAATTCTTATTGAAACACTTAAGCTTATTTTTTATGTTATTTCCAGGTATTGCTCTGAATGTAATTTAGTTATGTTTTCATTGTTTTCATTAACTCGCCATTACTTGAGGTTGAGCACTGCACTCACTTTTGTTTTAAAATGCTTGTAACTAAGGCTTCTTGGAAGTTTTGTAGCCAAACTCTCACCTACCTTCCTTCCCAAGTATCCCCTTCAACAATATACTGGAATTGGAAATAATAGTCATTGCTAATGCTTTCAGTGCCACCTTTGTTTCAGTCATGATAGAGAAGTTAGTGAGGTGCTCACCTGCAAGTAATCCTCTGTCTTTTTTTCTGCATTTGAAGTAGTATAATTCTAATTGTAAAGTGATATTGTATATATGTACTATCATGGAACACGATGAAATTATTCTGAAATGGTTTGATGAGGAGCCTGAGAAAGAAAATGTAGCTCCTTCCACACAGACAATGAGAGTGAGAATCTCTATTTTAAAATTCTGAAAGTGTTGAAAAAAGAAGCCAGATCTTCCACAGGAAACATCAATGGGAAGAGAAAAGTGTGCATATTGCCCTAAAAAAATGTGAGATTCAGCCGTGTTTATTAACCTACCGCCTGACCTAACTCGTGAACAATAGTAAGTTTATCGAGCAAGTATCAAATTTCACACCTGGGAGCTAATTACTCAGCCAGTTCTCAGTTGCGAAAAGACGCTTTCACATAACCTTCTGACCTATTATTGCTAAACTGTCAAATGAAAATAGCGACAATCGGAGGTTTTCGACACAGTCGCTGCCGTTCCTCTAAAAGAAGCATCAACCAGACCCGTTCAATACCTCCTATTTGGATTATTCCGTAACAACGAACTTAAGTGCCTATTTGGATATTTCCGTAACCCAGAACTTGGAAGTGACATCGTCAACAGCGGTTTGAAGACCTCGATCCATAAGATAACCTGTCAGGTATTTATCGCCACGCGAATCGTATGTAAACTCTCTCTCTCCGCGACCACACTTTATTCCATTTAAATTTTTAATAAACCCTTTGTTGATTGTTAAGGGTGGTTCGAGTCTCTTCCCTATGTTAACTCTGACCTGTCGAATCCGACTGTTCGCGTACGGGACCGCTCGCGCGACGGACGACGAAATCGCCGTCTCGGCTTCTGTGTTCCTCTAAACACGGTGGTGTCAATCCTGACTGGGCACTAAGGAGGTGCCGACCCGGAAGGTCACAAAAAAAAAAAAAAAAGGAAAACAG